TGGTCAGATTTAGTTTTCAAATTTTCTGCTCCCATTTTATTTTTTGGACATGTGTGAATTCCTGTCTTTTATATGATCTGATACTTAATTTCTGGAATTGTAGGGAATAAGTTTCCTCTAAATCTCCTATTCAGTTCATTAAGAATTTGGAGAGTGCCAGCCAGTTCTCTACAAAGTCTTCCATAAGTACTAAACACAAGGCCACTGCATACAGTTGGCTTTTTTTGTAATGTAATACCAAGAACCCGCTTAATAAATGTTCATGACATATTATATGTGATATATGTACGTATGTGTATACATTTATATGTAAGGGTAAAGAAAGAAAAAGCTTGGCTTATACAAAAGTACAAATGACAAAATAGATAAGATTATACATTTTAAAATCCATACCATTTCACTCTTCAGCAAAGCCAGTCCGATTTGATCTGTGTGTACTTTCTTCCCCTTCCCAAATCTCTGTGGTCCATAGTAATTCACAAAGCCTTTATTCTATGTATACAAAATAGTCAACAAATTAAAAGTACATAAGTACTATTCTGTGTCAAAATATGTAATCAACTCTTTCTCTTCATGTTTGTTTCAATACAAGAATCCTATGATCAGCAATACACACACTGAGGATCTGAGAAATGTCACATAAAGATGAGAAAGGAGAAGGACACGTAATTAAAAGTTAGAACACAAAACCAGTGAGGACATCTAAATATATATCAGCTTTGCATTCACATTGCTGAGGGTTCCCTGGAATGTGGGCCTTTCAGTCCTTACACGAGGAACATTCTAGGACAACTGGGCTGAGTTGATCACTACAGTGCCTGTGGATCGGAACCCTGCCCTGAGTTCTTTCTTATTTTGAGACTTTTCTGCTTTCTGGAGATGTTAAGAACAAAAAACAAATTTAACTCCACAAGTACTAGCTCATTTACGCATAATATTAATAAAAACAGTCCTCTCTTAAGTTTGTCTCAGCTTCTTAAAGCCTGGGCTGAGCCAATGGCATCCAGTCTCTATCCTGGGGAATAGACTTTACCTCCTGATGGAGGTGAACTTGAAGCCATGTTTTAAAACTGCTACATTACTCAGAATAAATAGAAAATTGTAATTTACTACTGCAACCACTAAAGAATTGGTCAGTGGTTAAACATGTTCTTACAAAGAAAACACAAGGCCCAGATGGTTTCCTCTAGGTTAAGAGTTCTCCATACTCGCTTTACAAGGCACACATACATTTATTATTGTATAATAACTCAAGACCTATTCAAAAAAGATGCCAAGACAATTTGTTACCAGCATGGTATAAAAGGAACTGCATCCTTACTTCACATCATTCAAAAAATTCAATTGCAGATAGACTAAGCACTCCCTAAATTAAATCTCACAGTTAAAATATGTTTTTATTATTAAATATTTCAAATTTGGAAAAATAACATCTGAAGTTTATCTGAAGTCAAACCAGGAGACAGAAAAAGAAATAGTTCTGAAGATGCAGAATGTCTCACTCCTGTATCAAAAGTAAAGAAAATGAAACATTAAAAGAGAAGCTTCAGAAGTTTCCCCCTAAAACAGAGGTGTATCTTTAAGGTTAGGATTAGATCAATTAAGATTACGCTTTACCCATTTTGTAGCCACAAAATTCAGCCAATGTCTTAACTGAATTTTTATTTCTCAGCATCTAAAAGTTTCTACTGAAGACAGTATCTCAGAATAGCCAGAAGCATTTTAACCAAACCTTCAAATTACTCACATATAACAGAGAGTTTATAACAACCAGAGCTATAACTTCATACAATAAAACTTACAAAACTTCTTATTTCAAAGTTTCTCAATTCCTTTCCCTATCTCAAAACTAAAGGAAGTTGACTGAGGCTAAGATTATTTCCAATGGGAATTTTATAATATGCAACTATATATTCATAAATAGCCAAGTAATAAATGCTATCAGAGTTCAGAGAAGCCCCCTCCTCTTTTTAAGAGATAACTTTAGAAACTATTTTTTAGGGGAAAAAGGTAGAATTTTAGGTAGGTCAAGAAAACAAGGTAATCATATAAAGGATATACCTTCAGAGAACTTCTATACAGGTGAAAGTGCTGGATTTAAAACCATCTTTAGTTAGAGTCATTCTCATGACTGTAAGGCAAATTAAAGACCTTTTTCCCTCTGGAGAGGTATAAAATCGTGTTAAAAAGTCTTTGTGGTCAGAAACTTAGATCAGCATTTCCCAATGTTGGCTATAAAGTAGACACTTAAGAAATTTTTAAAAAGGTACTAATGCCTAAGTTGTTCTGTTAAATTGGTTTGGGAGTAGAGATTGACTGCTGAAAAATTTTAAAAGCTCCCCAGGTTAAGAGTTACTGTGTAGTTCAAGGACTAGCAAACTATTAGAGGCCACAAGCCACATCTGGTCCAACACCTCTTTTTGTAAATACATTTTGCTGTAACACCGATAATCTCATTCATTTAC